TGGACGGGATGTGTGGGGAGGGGGTGCGCTCTGCCATGAGGCATGAGGAAGTTCCAGGGACGTTTCTGGTCCCCACCTGTCGTTTTGCTCCTCAGCATGGCTTCCTAAAAATGCTGCAGGATTTCTCAAACATGCACGAATGAGTCAAAGCAAGGCTTTGGGCATGTTTTTTATGAGAGTATAACATTATAACATGATATAGAACTCAAGAAAGTTGATTTTACATGATATTGCCCCTTTAATTTCCATTCCAGTATGATTTTTTTCCATAAAGAGAACCATCCAGTTGGTCAAATACATGAAGAGCTCCATTTGATTAATGAAATACTTCAAGCTTCCGGCTGAGTGACAAAACTTAACTGCAAATGTTTGAGCCAACCATTTATTGTAGTTTATGACGATTTTGCGATATACGTACCTATTGCACTGTTTGTTATTGCGATGACTATAAATTTATGATATATTGTGCAGCCCTAAAGCTGCAGGAGCTGATTTGTGTGCTTTCAGGCAAAAATATGTAATTATGTGATGTAAATTATCTGTTCACATAATTTCAAGGCAGACCTCTGTGTTAAGTGCGATTAGAGACGCTGTCTGCCATGAAGGATTTTAATATAAGTCATAAGTCATCACTACATGTTGCACAAAGCTAAATATGAGAAGTTGATTGAAGTCGCAATTCAATAAACAGAGACTTTTTACCAGAACCACACAGGAGTCTGTGCTTAAGAAGTCTTATGTTGAAGAAAGWGTTTTTTTAGTTTGCTTCAAACGTTTAGGATTCAGATTTATTAATCAATTTATAAAAACAACAGCTCTACATGCATTTGAGCATGAAAAAAGTTAATTTACTGCACTGAATACTAATTAAATAAAAATTTGATGACAGTTTCATCATATTTGGGTAAGTGTGCAGCGTTGTGTTGCCCTCTGGTGTGGCCCCTTCCATCATTTAAGCTGCCCGTCTCTGGTTTATAGTGTTCAATTAAACATTCATAAAACAGTCATTAAGAAGGATTTAAAAGTACAGATAAATAGATTATGATAAAGCTATTTTTTAGTCATTTTGCTCAGCTCTATTTCCAATAAATAAAATGTGTCAAAATTAACATTGCTCTWTTTTCAGTAGTTGTGGAGGTTTTTATTCTAACATTCTTGTTTCACAGAACGAGTTTCGACCCTCGACTTGCTGACATGCATTTTTCAGCTGCACACGTTGACCACCACCCCCGGCTCAGCGGCTAAATCTTTAATTCAAATAGTTAAAGCTTCCACACCGGCACTCACCCTGCGTGAAGCCTGACGGTTTGCGTCATATACCAGTAAGTCACTGAGAAGTCAGAGGACTTAAATCAGAGGCAGTTCACATTCCCACTGATGCAAACTCATCCCCAAGAGCAGCAGCAGCTGAAGAAGCAGCATGAAAATATGAGCTTAACAAGATCAGCAAACAAGCACAAGTGGAGAGAGAGGGAGACAAAGAGCTAAACTAAGTCAAGGAGATATATTAACCTGAAATGAGTATTTATGCAAACCACTTTACAATAAGATTAGATCCTTATTTCAAATGCATGTGAGTTATGAGTGTGTTGCTGCTCTGTAAAGTAGCCATCCTTCTCTGTCCTGTGCGCATGCCAGGAAATATCAACTCCTGCCATAATAAGATTAGTTAGTGTGCTGARGTACAGTGAGAATGCATATTCTGCTTTAGCTGCATCTATTTTGGAGCTGCTTAAAAAACTATCTGTCTTCTGTGTTGACTTGCAGCGCACAAAGCCTGCTGTCCACCATTCCAAAACCACTTCCTGTCRGTCCAGAAACACAGCACAGTGCTTRGTTTAGTTCTTTATAAATCATCAATGGAGCTGCCAGGAGCTAAAGTTAAAGCTGTGAACAATTTTTACTGACGCCTTGGAAAAAAAAGGTTTTTTGTGCTCTAATAGAGGTTTATTGCAACATATGGCAWAAGAACAAAAAATGAATAAAACCCCCAAAACAATAACCACTTTAATATTGACACTTCCCTTAAATAACGGCCTAAGTCATTTTTTCAAGTTTGTCAGGAATTCTAAAACATGTTATCTGGTACATTTTTGGTTAAGGTGTTTGTTTCCTGAAAAAGAAAAAAAGACTTGGGTCATTATTTTAGGAAGAAGATAATATAAAATATAACATTGATTTCAGCCAATGTTGGTCATTTTATAGCACATCGGTATTGGTCTGATTAGTAAAACTGGGCAAATTATAACTTCTGATATTGATTTCCTGCTTGTTGTCCTTTGTGTTTCTGGAGGCTGGTTATGTGGTATCTGTTTGATCATGATAGGATAGTGATGCTGCACAGCCAGGAATAACTGAAGTAGAGCCATGTCAGTGGTCTGGTCGTTTATTTACAGTATCAAGATACAAGCGGGTTTGTGCGTATGTATACATACACACAGAGAGAAAGATAGATATATAGATATAGTTATAGAGGGATGGATGGATGGATGGATGGATAGATGGATAGACAGACAGACAGACAGACAGACAGACAGACAGACAGACAGACAGACAGACAGACAGACAGACAGACAGACAGACAGACAGACAGACAGACAGACAGACAGATAGATAGATAGATAGAGTGCAACAATACAGATAATTCACGATTCGCTTTGATACTCTCATAGTTCAATATTTTTTCGTAACAAAAAAGAGAAATGTCCATGCCCTTCTTAACTTGTAATTTATATAAATTAATTATGAACATTTATTTAACCTCAAAAGTACAGTTTTTAAGTTAAATGTTGCTGAAACAACAAGTTTCTCAGTGGATCTGTGCTCCACAATGCAGCCTAGGTGGAGTAGTCGAACACAGATCCKCTGATRCTTCAACACAGAGCATCTTCAGAAGACAAGTTGATGCAATAAATTTTGAAAATCTTCATTGTTCCATYCGTAGTGTGTATAAAATCTGTTATCAGCCACAACAGCAGTATTGGTATCGGATATCGATGTCAGCTGCAATTTTCATATCAGTGCATCCCTAATAAGATGATAACAGTCGTGTGATTGTAAAACATAAAACAAACAAAAAGAAAAACAGACTCATGTAGATCAGCTCTTGGCTCTATYTTTCTGGGATAATTTCAGGAAATYTTGTGTTCTCATAAAGCAGGGCTCTGTTAGTTTCTGTATGTTTTTGTGTTCTCAGTTTTGAGGGCGCAGGGTCCAGCATCATGTTGTGTCCGACTCCTGCCCATAAAGCACACAGCCGTGTGTCAGCTACAGCCTTTTCTGGGATGAAATGTTATCCTGCAATTCTCTGAAGMTATCCCATCAATCCACAGGGGAAAATTGGAGGCTAGCTCAAATAAAGACCCTGATGGCAGTTTGATGAATGAAAAAGGCTGAACTGGAAGCACCGCTGATTTTTCTGACAGCTCTGCTTAAAATATGGACTCCCAGTAAAAAGCAGCTGTMTTGTTGGGCTGGTAATCCAGCAGTACATCACGTTCAAGGCCACTCGATAAAACAACTGATGGGTCACATGATCAGAGGGTCTAAACATTACTTCAAGCTGTAATAAGCTGCTTTGGGGTCAGTGAGGCAACTGGTTCACACAGGCAGAAAATATCAAATCCCTCATGGTCAAGGTCCAGTCAGGACGAAAACCCTCAGTCTGCAACCATTAAAGCCTTTAAGTTTAAAACTATTTATCTTCAGAAATAACATCAACTTGTCACTTTTACTTATATCACAAGGAACAATCAAAGTAAAAAAAGCAACTGAATTGGCTGTTTTTACTGATCAACCTTTGACATTTGTTGAGCTGAGGTTTGGTGTGGTAGTAGCTGAGACTAACACCCAGCACATATTCTAAAGACCACCAGCTCATGATAAATCTTTATTTAAAACTTTGGTGTGCAAGGAGTTGAGGATATGCATTCCTTTAAGGACTGTTTGTTTCATTAAGTAATTATTGGAGTCGGTTTTCATAAAGTGGAAAATACGTTAAATTTTTTAGTGAAAATGATCAAAATTCAGACTAGATGAAATTGAGTCTATAAATAAATAAATAAATAAATAAATAAATAAATAAATAAATAAATAAATAAATAAATAAATACGTTTTCTGAACCTGAGATTGTTCGGAGCTGAAATATTTTGGATTTCAGGTTCATCGTGTGTCTCGATCTTTAAGCTGAGTTACAGCTTAAAGTCTTTGAGCCTCCTGGAGTTTGAAAGAAGCTCTTTTGTTTTTCCATCACTTTGCTTCTCAGCTCTCAAAGTGCCGAACAGATAAAATCAGTTTAGAAAGGGGTTTCAGTGTAAACAGAGTGACACTTGGATCCTAACAAAAATAAATCAAAAGGTCACTTTGATCATGAGTTAAACAATCATTATCGTGCTAATAGTTTTTATTATCTGATTAACAAAGTCTAAGGATAAAATGAAGTGACAGTTAGAAGGTCTACGTTATTATTTTGCTTTTTATATTCCAAACAATTAAATAAACGTAATTTTGTTTTCTTTACAAATACCTGCATGTCTGGATCCAGGTGTTCCTGTGTGAAACAGTTTTTGTTCATTGCAGGATAGCTGCAGGTTCAACAGCGTGTTAGTAGCCATGTTTCATCAACAATTTTTTTTGCACATTTTGAAGTATCGTGTTAGAAAAGGTGGATGGAAAGTGGCTAAATTTGCAAAAGCGTCCTCAATTTTGCAAAAAGGCTTTTACGCTCACTTGAGGTGGTTTTTGGATTTTCCGAAAAAGAGTTATTGCATAAAAGCGGAGATGGAAACACGTTTTCTGTATAAGTTTGGATGTAGCAAACATTTATCTCACATGATTAACCAGTTTTGTAGCGGCTGCAGCTGGACACTTCTCCCGCTGTCAGCGTCTTCGCAGGTTTTCCCGTAACGCGAAAGGAATTGCGTTTCTTTTGTCTGCATCTCCAGACAGCAGTAACATCACCAACTCTAGCTGATATGACAGAATAATTACWACTTTCCTGATAACTTCTCTCCATTGTCCTGAGATGTGTCCCTGTGAGTTTGAGACTTTACTTCCTGTTCAACATCAATGTCTGACGTAATTACACTTTGTGTAGACTGGTTGATTTGCTCCAAACCAGATAGAAACAACACTGATGCGCATTTCTTATTTTTTTGCAAAATTTAAAAGTTTGCTCAAAATGTGCATTAACATTGGATGGAAACATGCCTTGTGATGTCTTCATGTGAGTGACTGGCAGAAGCATCAATTTTAGAAAGTGCCAAACATTCTATCTGTATTGTATTTGTTACCAGGGTGATGAGTGCAATGGAAAAGCGTTTTCTGTCGCTGTTTTTTTATAAACTACAGTAGATTATTACTTGTGAGGCTGTGCAAACCACAAGCTTTTCTTACATCTTCATAACATGTAAGGAAAAGCCTGGTTTCGCCTGCAATTTTCACTCTAAAACGATGAGGAAGATGAAGGTTTCCATGTCTTACCCATCATGTAGATTCTGTTTCCCATCACGAACGGCGTTGCTCCGTAGCGCGGCGTAGGCATGGAGGTCACCAGTTGCCACTGGTCCCTCTCTGCAACGTAAACTCGCACAAAAGCCTGAGGCGTCGTGTCGGCCCCCATACCGCCCAGGGCATACACCTTCCCATCTGCAGAGACACAGGAAGACGAAAATTGGCTTCAAATCACAAACTGTTACTATTTACTGGCTTTATAGCAAACATATTTGCACTCCGACTCATTATTTGTTCATTATGAAGTAAATTGTGGAAAAAATACTGCTTCATCCTGCAAACGGACAAAAAAATGATGCATTGCTGTGCCCTTTTCTCCTGTCATTACTGCTCTATAGCTGTAAGGTTTGCTTTCTGACTCATCCCTCTTCTCTTCCAAACAATCTGCATTATTTATTTCTGCCGTCTGTCTGAGAAATGACCTGCGACTAAGYATTTCTCAAGGACAGATACGAACATCTTGCACTGCTGCAGTGTCATTAGAATACAGGGAGAAGGTGGGGAAAGTGGTGGGGGAGAGAAAACCGCTGAGCAAGCAAACCTGATCATCCAGCTGAAACACCGCAGGGGGAGAAGAAGGGGAAAAAGGGGGATGAAAGGGAGGAGATAAAATCAAAGCAGCAGAAGAGAGTGGAAACAAAAGAACACTGAAGTGATGAAAGTTTTATTCGAACAACGCGTTAGCGATGAAAGTTATATGTCAACACAAARGTGGCGAAAGCATGAAAGAGCGACACAAAAAGAGAGATGTGGAAAAGCGACGGAGCGCCTGAGTCACTCAGACAGATGATGGATCCTCAGAGCTGTGACTTAAACTGTGAACAACAAAGCAACAATAAATCTGTCTCTCGGAATGCAGCAATCCGCAGGCAGTTCAGCTGTTGTGACTGAGTAAATTCAATTTTACTGCTGTATATTAGGTAAATGGTGCAGTGAGAACACTTTCCTAGCATGAAGCATGGCTTTGTGCATTTGGAGGGAAGCCGCGCGGCAGGATCAGCACATCACCGGGGACTTTTTAGGCTTTATCACAGAATTTGCAAAGAGCTTTGGAAGCTCCTTTACACTTGTAAAGAGAGAGAACTGTGTTTTCTTTATGTAACAGGCTTTTAAAGTACTTTTACCCTCATCATCATCACAATTTGTACAACTTCACGTAACCATTTTTATGAGTGTAACGATTATAAAAGTCTCAAAATCCAGGTTTTTTTTGTTTTGTTTTTGTTTTTTGTGGGGGTGTGGTTTCTGAGGGTTTCTTAAATCAAAACACCAGATTTAAACTTTCAATGTTTTTTTTTTGAGCTCCATGAGCTCCTCTTTTTATACGTGCAGAGGAGGAAATAAACTTTATTGGCACAAATACCTGCTAAAATAATCCAACAAGTAAGACTTTTATTTTGAAACTTAAACCTTTAAAAAGACGTACATGATCGGATTTTGTTCTCTGTAATGGATGAGAGTCCATAATCCGGCACAGATTGATGTTCTCTGAAAGTGTGTTTGATGGAGAAGAGAGCGTCTCTGTCTGTGACTTCTGAACTACCAGGGGGAGCATCAACACGGAACAGCCTGTTCGCCTATAGTGATAGTGTCTTCTAGAACAGAGATTCTTAACCTATGGGCCGCGGCCGAGGGCCTCAAAAGAACAACAGTTTTTAACTTTGGGCTGCAGAGGGCCGCGGGACCGCATTTATTTTGAATAAGGCGCAATACACTTTCTCACCACTAGTAGCGGTAGTGCACAACTTAGATGTTTAACAACTTTTTTAATATAGAACCTTAAAAACCTGCCGAGAGTGGAAACCTATTTTAAATTAAAGTTAGAAGACAAAAATGAAAGCAACCAGTCAAAAAAAGGCAGAAGTTTGTCTCTAATATGGAGAGCAGCTTCTGATTCCACCATGCAATATTTTAAAAGTTCAAAACATTATCAAATACAGTTGCGGACACAACTATATTTTAATTTTCACTTTAAATTTTTTTTGTAGTTTATTTTTAAACATTTTGAATGTATTTTGAACTTTAAACTTGTCAAAAAGCTGTTGTTACGGTTATTGTTTGTCACTAATATGAGGAGCAGCTTCTGGTTCTACCATGCAAATGCTTAAAAAGGCTTTAGTTTCCTTTGCATTTTTTCAGATTTAATTTTACAGGTTATTCTTTTAAACATTTACATTGAACATTTTGAATGTATTTATTTTGTGACTACAATTTTTTTGTTCAATTGTCTATTTTTGTGATTGTATATGTAAATAAAACATTATTTTTGCGTTGACCATTGTATTTGATCAAATAATTGCAGGGCAGGTTACAATATAAAAAAATGTTTGTCATAATCATGTTTTGTGTTTATTTGACAGGAGTTTTACTWTTAAATTGAAAGTGTATTTAATTTAGTTATAATGAAAATAAAATACAAATTAAACCAAGCTTTAGAATACTTGTTATTCTGATCGGTACATTGATAATGTCTGACTGGGCCTCGTCCCACTTTATGTTCAACAAATTGGGCCCCGAGGTCAAATGTGTTAGGAACCCTCGTTCTAGATGGGTCATGTTTCTCTGTATTTTATGTATTTAAAAACTGTAGCAACACATTCCTTACAACAGGAAGTACAGTACTGTGTAGTTAGAGACTTAAAAACTAGTAGTTTATTTAACTTTAGCATCCATGTTGAATTTATTTTGGATTTTGGAGTGGGGCGTTCCAGCTCTTCCAGCACAAATAAAATTGGCTTGGGACACCTACTRCCTGTCTTGCTGTAAAACACAGCTGCTGGCAATTGACCACAAATCTCCCTTTTTATTTTCTCACATTGTCACTGATCACCCAGAGAAAAGAAACCCGAACATTTCATTACCTTTATTGTGAAACAATGCTTCATCCTGCAGAGCCACGTAGCATTTCCACGTTTTAATGTGAGACTGGGAGGAAATTAGGCTGTGGTCTAAGCACGACCGATCTCTTCTAATTAAGGAAACCAAGGGTCTTTTATGTGCCCATCACCCCGGGAGACTCCATGGCAACCAGATGGAAATATACAGACTGGTGATATGGGTTGGCCGTTTGTCATGTTGTTAAACAAAATCCATCAAAGCTCAAAGTCGGAGCACTGAGTCACAACCTGGAGTACACTCATCAAAATACGGTTAAAGAGAAAGCTTTCAGAGCCGACATATCCTCATCCGTCTCGCTYCTGATTCATATAATCAACACAAACAACGACGCACAAAACCSACAATTCACAAGAGAAGGAACAAATGAAAACCTTTATGTTTCTGTCCTCTTCTTTAATAAGTCTGATGCAGTTTGATGCTTTGATTCTTTTACAGAGCATCCTTCAGTGTACTTATCAGTGGTCTCTCTTATGTCTTACTGCTTGTTCCCAGCTTTTATTTTTACACTTCGTTTCCTTTCATCCCTTTCCCCACATTTGATTTAATTGACTGCTTCCGACGTCCCCTTTTACCCTCCTTTCTTCTCTAGTCCATCATTTTGTCCTTTTATCCTCTTTCCTCTCATCTCTTTCCATTACTGCTCATCCATTTGCTTCCCTCTTAATACAGCACACTGCTCTGTGGGGTGCTCTCTGGTTGCAGAGGTGAAAAAAAGTTAGAGCTGTTATGTGAGATCAAATARTACATTAAATCACCAATTATTGTAGTTGAGCATGAATTAGTTTAAAACTTGTTTCTATAGAGTTTGTATGACGTTTGTTTTGTTACTTTTAGTTTATCCCTGAAGTATTTGGTCTTACTCTTCTTTGTAAAATATATCTGGCCATGATTTGGTTAAAAAGCCAGAAAGATGTCTGTAAATGTGACTTGTATTACATTTTAGGTGTGCAGAAATTGGACAGCTGGAACTGGAATTGGACAATTTTCAGGCAGACTGGCCTGATAGTGACGGCAGATAAAACGGTCAGCAATCAGGAAAACGGATTGCTTTCCCTCGACGTGTTTGAAAGTCAAGTGAATGCATTGTGTAAATAAATCCACACATGGCTGCACTTGTTTAACGTCTTTTTGTTTGGGGGGAAAAGGGAATAAAACAAGCAAAGTGTTTTAATTATTTTTTTGTCYCGATCAAAGGGAAATAAAGATCATTTTAAATTCAGGAATATTTTAGGTTTTGTTTGAATAATAAAAAATAGCATGTCAGCCAATTTTGGCCCTGAGTGCTCCGAAAAGCAGCAGAAATGTATTTTTTTTTTAGGTCTTATAAAACTGAATCAAACCAAACTGAAGCTTTGATTTTACTACATAGAAGAAATCTACGTGGAGTTTTCTTTTTTAGTTTATTTCTTCACATAAAAGTAGAGGACATAATTTGACTTTATGTCAGGAGGCTGAGTCTGAATAAGACATCAGCTCCTGCAGGCCTCTAATTTATTGAATACATGTTTTTATTGTGTTGCTATAAATCATGTAAAATCATTAAAGCACATTCTTGAAGATAAATATGAACATATTGGACATTTCCCTTTAAAGTGGCCTTGGTTTTACTGGAGTCTTTTTGATTTATTTATTATTTGTTCTGTCTGAACTGAGAGCAAAGTGAAGTAACCACTGCAGCTAATAGTTTTCCATCTGGACCTCAGCAGGGACGAAACTGCCCCGTGTTCCCGTAATGACAGCCTGAAGGTTCATGCTACCGCAGCGACAAAAAGAAAAGCACCCCCCGTGACCTTTAAAGGGCACCACATTGTTGCTAATGAACTCGTCGATCGCAGATCAATAACTCCTGCTCCTGCTGTTAGCTGGACTCAGCAGGAACTGAGAGGTGAGAGACTCCAGCTCTTTTTTATCTTTACTGTGAGAATCAGATTCTCTCAAAAGATACTTCTTTTGTAATTCTTTAGAACTCTTTATGTCGCCTGCTGCAGAGGCCAGAGTGAGACACTTTAATGCTTTTAAAAGTTCGGCCCGCCAATTGGTTCATTCATCTATTAAGTCCAAACCTCTGCTTTTCTACTTTAATTCATATAAGTTCTTTTAGTTAGACATTGGTGTGTGGTTACAGAAACATCTGAATCTTGGCAAGAAGCTGGTAAAAAAACATTTCTATGCACTTTTTGTTTTTGATATTAATTATTAAACAGGGTTCTGTATGTTGTATTCATGATAAAATGCAG